TTTATTTGCAGATAATAGCAATGATAGCAAGGTCACAGGATATAAAGTTAATATAGAAAAGTTGGTTGTTTGCCTATATTCCACAAATGAGCAATAATTGGTATTTGAAATTAAAAATGCCATGTACCAAAAAAAGGAGTGGGGAATATATTGGTAAAATCCCACTATCCACAAGAAATTAATTAAGAAAAATATCTATGGATAAATGTCGGAAAGATCTATAGAGGAAAGAGGGTAGGAGGTGGGGAGAGGAAAGGGGAAGGAAAGGTACTAGGGATTGGATTAGAACAAAATATATTCCAGCTTTTATAATTAAATCAAAATTGATGCTATTATCATGTATAACTAAAAATAACCAATATAAGGAAAAAGAAAAAATGGGTACAGGATCTATATGCTAAAATTACAATTGTCTGATGAAAGAAATCAGGGAAGATTCAAACAGTTGAAGAGATCTCCTAGGCTCTGCTTCCGGCCTCTGTGCACTGAGCAGTGTTGCTCCAGCATGACCTCCCCCTGGTGCTCTGCCTTCCACAGGCCCAGACACAAGGGAACCAGCCACCACCGACTGAAAGCTCCGAAATTTGGCCCCAAGTAAATCTTTCCCTCCTTTAAGCTGACTTCTGTTAGACAGTTTGTCATAGCAACAGAAAGCTGACGAACACAGCTGGGCTTTACTAAACTTAAAAACTTGTGCTTTTAAGACACCTTTAAGAGAATAAAGAAGCAAGCCGACAACTGAAAGAAAATATTTGCAAAACACACCTCAGAACCTCCTTGCATACAAATAAATTTAAGAATTCAACAATTAAGAAAATGAACAACTAATGTTAAACCATGAGCAAAAGATTTGGAAATCTCAGCAAGGAAGATATGCATATGAAAATATGTTCACCACAATTTGTCAGCAACCACAAATCAAAACAGTGAGGTATCACTGCACATCAGGGAGGAATGTGTGCTGTGACAAGAAAACATCACTATGTGGTGAATGTATGAAACAACCTCACGGACACGGTAGAAGGAAAGGTATGGACCTAAGTGACTGGAGGCAAAGAAGCTGCTCATGAGCATTGGATTCTGGTTGCTAAAGCTATCCCCTGGGTTCAGGGGGTTATAGTGACAATTCTGATTCTGGTATGCATGGATGTAAAATGAATAATTAGGAAGATGGTGGGAGTCAAGGTTCTCACCATGGGAGTGGGAATTTACAGATAAGAAAAGGGAGGAGGCTGGAATGATCCACGTGGTAATGGATTACAGTTGGAGACACTGGTATGAACTCGTGCTTAACTTAATATAGTCACAGGTGGTTACATATAGACACACACCCACACCCACACCCACACACCTACTTCTTTGCCAACTGAAAGGCCCCAAAGAAATGATTGCTCAGTAGTAACAAACACCTAGTGCCCACATTGTAGTTTCTAATATCATTCTCCAATACACCGAACCAGGAATCCTTGAAAATTGTCCTGATTTTTAGGACTGGGCCAGCAATGTACAAAATCAACTGGAACTTGTTATAGCACCAGACAGTAAAGAAATGCCAGAAACAAACAAACAACAACAACACAAAGCAAAGTCAAAGGAAAACAACACCAACAAATTTATTTTAGCTGAGAGTGGTGGTGCACCCCTGTAACGCTAGTGACTCGGGAGGCTGAGGCAGGAGGACAGCAAGTTTGAGGCCAGTTTTGGTAACTTAGCCTGACCCTATCACAAGATAAAAAAAATCAGAAGGGCTGAGGAGGTAGCTCAATGGCTGAGCATCTCTCCGTTCAATCCCCAGTACTCCAAAGAAAGAGAAGAAAAAATAAAAGAAAAACTTTAAAAATTCATATTGATGGAAGTATTTCAAAGGACATGGGAAAGAGCTCCCAATGGCCCAAACTGGAAAATAGAAAGAAAGAAAGGAAGGAAGGAAGAAAGAAAGAAAGAAAGAAACGAACTAGAAGTACAATTAGATTATAGCTCGAAGTTCAAAATAAATATCTGTGAATCCACACTGACTTAGATAAATGATTGAATGAATAAATAAGGGGAAATTCCGAATAATGTATATAGAGACTCCATTTGCAATGATGGAGAGCTCTAAGTACCATTCTGAGCCTGGCATAAGGACTTCTTTCAGAGTTCAGTACAGAATGCGGGCAGGGAGGGTTGGGGATATAGCTCAGTTGGTAGAGCACTTACCTGGGAGGCACAAGGTCCTGGGTTCAATCCCCAGCACCACAAAAACAAAACAAATGAAAACAGAATGGGGGCAGGGGTGGCAGGAGAGAAACTTTATAGTGGAGGAATCTGAGAAGTCAACACAGTACCGAGGGGCCTCAGGAGATGACTAGGTATATTGTGACATGCCGTGGGTGGGTACGGGAATAGCAAAAGGACCTTAGGTAAGAACTGAGGAATTCTGAACAGACCACAGACTTTAGTTAATTATAATTTTGAAAAATCCCTAATTTTGTTTTATCAATTGTAACAAATGTAGATGAACTCTACTAATGTCAGATTTTAACAATAGGAACAAGTGCGTGTGTAGAATATGGAAACTCAACTGTCTTCTCAACTTTTCTGTAAATTCAAAATTGTTCTAAAAAGTAGAGTGTGTTATGGCTTTCTTCTAACTTCCACATGTGAGGACACAGTCAGCCCTGGACTCTCTGAGTCTGGCTTATTTCACTTAGCATGATGTTCTCCAGTTCCATTCATTTACCAGCAAAGAACACAATTTCATTCTTCTTTAGGGCTGAGTAAAACTCCATTGTGCATGTGTACCACATTTTCATTATCCATTCATCTGTTGACAGGCACCTTGGGCTGGTTTCTTAACTTGACTATTGTGAATTGGGCTAGTGTAAACCTTTGTATGCATGTATCAATGTAGTATGCTGGTTTTAATTTGGTGGATAAATATAAAGGAGTGAAACAGCTGGGTGGCCTGGTGGTTCCATTACCAGACTTTTGAGGAACTTCCATATTGATTTTGGATCTCACAAAAATAGAAGGGAGATCAGGAGGGTGGAGGAAAAGGGATCCAGGGGGAGGGAGGAGGAGAGGGGAAAAGGAGGTATCAGGGAATAAAAAAGAAAAAAAAAATCATGCTATGTGCAAGTAGGATATATCACAATGAATCCCACTTTGTGTATAATTATAACATACCAGTTAAAAAAATAAAAGGGAAATCAGTAGAGTAGAGGAAGGGGATCCTGGGGAGGGAACAGGGGAGGAGAGTCATGGTGCTGGGGAATGAAATTGATCAAATTAGGCCATGTGCATATGCAATATGTCATAAAGAGTCCTGCCATTGTGTATCATTATAACACACCTATGAAACGCTAAAAATAAAATTTCAAAAAAGCAATTTCTATTACAATAACAGCCATCACCTACGACTTAAAGGAAATCTGTCCGTGTTGGACATGTGGGGCACTTCTGATCACTTCTGTGACCCCAATCTTCCCACCCAGTCCTATCCAAGTTCACTCTTAGAACTCGAGTCTGCTTTGCCGTGATCTAAGGGACGAGAACCACTGACAGTGGGCTGACCCGAGGAGTAATGAGGTTCAGCAGGAATTTTAGGAACCCCTTGTGATGGGGAGACCGCGGGGGGTGTGGATACGGAGAGCGAGAGAGACCAGCCTGAAGGCTGTTGCAGTAGCTCAGAGGTGGGGAGAAACCTCAGCCTGAGCGTAGGACTCCATCCTGACGTCATTAACCAGATGACAGGATTCCTAAGCAGGAAACATGGCGAGCTTTGCTTGGGGTTGGGTTGGGAGTGAGGAATTCTAAGTACCGTTCAGATCCATGGAGTTTGAGTGCCTGTGGACACTTCAGTGGGGAAATCCCTGATATACCCTTTGCCTGCGGTAAAATAGCTCTGAACAACCTGCTGAGATGATATGGCCAAATAGTTAAGGCAAGTCATCGGAAGGGTTAGGGGCAGGGCTCGTCTCAGGAAGGAGAGAGCCCCAAGTCCTAATGTGAATGATGGCAGTCAAGGCTCAGAAGTGTCAGGAGCCAGGGTGCCACAACTTCTGATCTATATTTCTCCTGCCCTTCCCTTAAGGACAATGTCACTTTTCTTCAGAGACCAGTCCCGGAAATGTCTCCTCTCCTCACCTTACAATTCTGCTTCTATTGCTTTTCTTAAAAAAAAAAAAAAATTAACCAAGTAGGCAGTCCATTAGACTCTTAGAAATCATGACGACGTTCTGTGTTGAAAACACAAGAAGCAAAGCTTTGGGCTATTTCCAGGGAAGAAATCAGAATCCAGACGGAGCTCCAAATCTGCCTGGCATCTTCCCAGTCCCCTCCCATAGTGAGGTGTCAAATCAAGATGGAAAACGTAGGGCTGAGCTCTGCCCTGGGTTAGGCCTGGGGTCTCTATGGGTAGTGGAAGAGAGCACTGGACGGGGATAAGTAGATTCCCCCACCACCAAAATGAGTTCATCTTCTCCTCCTGAAGGGCAAGTATCGCTTTTAGGTGCACGTGTGATGTTGTTTTTTTGTTTTTCTCTGAGTTTTGAGTCTTTTTCAGAAACTGTAACACACAGTGGGTGGTCTCAGAGTAAAATGAAATTTTAAAAAAAGAGTCAAGATGTTTGCCCTCCTTTGAGAATTGGACAAGGGAGGGTCAGTTGCAGCCACTGACCCATTCACAGGACTTTATGTGGTGAGGGACAGAGGAGAAACAGCCAGAGAGACCGAGGACCTCAGGGTTTATTAGGTACGACTGTGCACACTCACAGGGCCAGTCACGGTCCGGGGGGAGTTTAGGTTGATGTGATAGTGACAGGGTTGCCCAGGATCAGGACTGGGCTCCTGGAGGTGGGTGCTGGGTATGACTTCCTCTCTCCCAGCCCCTAAGGAGACAGGCAGAGGGTCAGGCAGGCGGGTTCACAACGAGGGGGCCCCAGGGGAGCAGAGGAAAGTGCGTCTGCGTCCCCCTCCCTGTGTAGGAGGCTCTGTGGGCCCCGGGACACTGCAGGTTCCTACTCAAGCTTGCTCACGTCGACACCTGCTTCTGCTGCTGTTCCCCTGCAGGGCGCGGGAATCCCTCCCTTCCGTGCCTGCACTGGCTGCAGCTCCTGGGCCTGGCCAGGGCCTGGGACCAACGCGGGCTGCTGCACATGCTCCTCCTGCGGCTCCAGGCGCTCCAGTTCCTGAGCCTGCCGCAGAGGCTCCTTAGGCTGCTGCTCCCTTCGTGTTTCCTCTTGCTCCAGGATTTTTGCTCCCTGGGGTTCTTCATGCTGTGGCTGGCCCTGCTGCTGCTGCTGCCGCCGTCCCAGATTCAGCTCCTGCTCCTGTGGCTCCTCCTTCTGCTTCTTTCCCAGATTCAGCTCCTGCTCCTGTGGCTCCTCCTGCTGTTTCCCCAAATGCAGCTCCTGTTCCTGTGGCTTCTGATGTTTCTGCTGTCCCACATGCAGCTCCTGCTCCTGTGGCTCCTCCTGCTGTTTCCCCAAATGCAGCTCCTGTTCCTGTGGCTCCTGTGGTTCCTGCTGTCCCACATGCAGCACCTGCTTCTGTGATCCCTGCTGCAGTTGCTGTTTTCCCAGATGCGGTTCCTGCTCCTGTGGCTCCTCCTGCTGCTGCTGTCCCAGATGCAGCTCCTGCTCCTGTGGCTCCTCCTGCTGTTTTCCCAAATGCAGCTCCTGCTCCTGTGGCTCCTGCTGATGCTGCTGTCCCAGATGCGGTTCCCGCTCCTGTGGCTCCTCCTTCTGCTGCTGTCCCAGATGCGGTTCCTGCTCCTGTGGCTCCTCCTGCTGCTGCTGTCCCAGATGCGGTTCCTGCTCCTGTGGCTCCTCCTGCTGCTGCTGTCCCAGATGCGGTTCCTGCTCCTGTGGTCCCTGCTGCTTCTGCTGCTGTCCCAGGTGCAGCCCCCGTGGCTCCTGCTGGTGTTGCTTTCCCAGATGCAGCTCCTCCACCTGGGGCTGCTCCTGCTGCTGCTGTCCCAGGTGCACTTCCTGCTGCTGAGGTGCTTGGTGCTCCCGCTGCTGCAGGCCCAGATGCAGTTTCTGCCCCTGGGGCTCTCTTTGCTGCGGCTGCTCACACTCTTGCTCAGGCAGCCCCTTCACGGGAGCCGTGTGCTCCTCCTTATGCTTGGAAGGGCCCTCCCCCGGGGACTCAGAGGCCACCTTCTGGCACGGAGCAGGCAGGGATGTTGGCTGCTTCATTTGCTCCTGCTCCGTATGGGCTGAAGGAGAAGCAGTCTGGGGGAGTTCCTCAGTGAGGGTAGCAGGGACCGTCACTGGCCGTGTGTATTGCTGGGACATCTTGGAAGCTACGGTAGGTCAACCTGAAAAACAGAGGGTCAGAGGGATAGGCTGAAGGCCAAGGAAGTAGAGGTGTCCAGCAGAGCTTGGCTTCTCAGCCCCCCTTCTCTTGGGCGGGGCACTCTCCCGTCTCCTTTAAACTGTCCTTCCCAGAAGCAGCAGAGCTAAGCGTGGGGATTGGGAAGGGCGGGGAAAGGCTATCCTTGGGGCTCCTTATTCCCAGGCCAGAGCCAACAAAGAAATATGTCTCCAGAGCTGTTACGCAAGTGTGGGCTGGCTGCCATTCAACTTATTCATTTTGTCTAGTCTTGTCTGTGCCCTTATCTCCAGCCTCAGCTGATTAAGGGGTGAGAGATGAATTCTGGGGTTATATCACATCAAGAGGAAAGATGCTAGAGGAGAAACATCTTCTAGAGATGATCTCCGAGTCCTGGAACATCAATAGCTTGTGCTGGAGTGGAACTGAGAAGTCACGGCATCAGCGTTAGCCTGGGGTCACCCATGTGTTCTGGGCGTACATCTCCCTCTGAAACGCTGTAAGTCACTGAGCACCTCTGAATGGGAGATTTCCTCTCTGTCAAATGAACGGTCGGCCTATTCAACTCCAGATCTCATTTCTTTCCTGACCATCTGAACTTTATCTATAGCCCCAGTGCTTAGGATCGGAAACGAGGGTGACTGGAAGGTTACCGAGACTTGGAACTTATTAATCAAGTCTTGTTCTTCTAAGTTAGGTTGTCTTCCCCTTTTCTGTATGGGTTTCTCCAAATTTAAATTTCTCCCCATTCTGAAGTTTCCCCTTTGTGCAGCACGCTAAAAATCATAAGCACCCCCCCCCCAGAACACCCTTCCCCTATAAGGGAGGCAGAATCATGGTCAGTCTAAACTGACGAGTTGTAGAACAGAAATTGACTTGTACTCCCTCTGCCTAACTTATCTTTTACACAAATAAATCTGGGGAGATGTTTTCCCAAGAAAAGATGAGACATGTGAGGATTGATATCCACTCTGGATTTCTAAATCCTGGCCCATCTCCCTCCTCACAGTGACTTGGGACCCCTAGAATAAAATGTAGTCCAGCTGAGTCCAGCCCCACCCACCTGGACTGGCCTCTCCCAGCCGTGTCCCAACCCTTGTCCCATCAGCTGATACTCACCAGGCTCACAGCAGGGACTAAGGCAGAGGCTTCTGGTGGAGTGGCGAGCTGCACAGGGGCCAACACACCCTTTATACCATTCCCTCCTGCCGCCTTCCCAGTGTGGAGGTGACGCACTGGTTTCACCACTCCAGTCCGTCAACCTCCTCCAGCCCCTACTCTGACTCATCATTAAGCAGCAAACCCCTCAGGGCCCCTTTTTCTGAGTGCCTCTCTGGCCAGAGAGTTCTAAGGGTTCAGCTACTCCTGTGATGACCATCTGACCTGGGGACAGGGGCGGTGAGAAGGATGAGGAAGGTGTCCCGTTGATTTTTGACTTTCGCCAAACTTCTCCTCTGCATGTCAATTTCTCTACCTGTAAAATGAGTTTGTCCTCATTATTGGAGTGAGGGATGCATTTCCAAGGGTATGGGATGGAATGTTTTGTGTCTGGGATATCCAGATTGGGGTCTGGGGTGGAAGAGTCCCTTCTGATAAAGGGATAGGATCGTGGGGCATTTCCCTGGGCCACAAGACCATCCTGTCTCATAATGTATCTATAATTACCTCCTGTGGGGAAATCAACTCGGGGTCTGGCTCTAGGCCAGGGAGAGGCAAGTAGAAGTCTTCCACACCTCTTCCTGCTGAACCCCAGAACTGCCAGCCTTCGTACCCAACGCTGCTGTGCTCATAAACACTCCAGAGCCTGGACCGCTCTAGGCAAGGAAATAGGATTAAGTAGAAACAATGTACAGATGGTGAAAACACAAACACTTTCTCTAGTTGCCTCCGGAACTGCAGGACCGTGTGAAGGGCAGAGCCTAATCGCGTATTGCCTTCGCTAAACCTTTCTCTAAAAACAGCTTCAAAAATCTTGTAGCGAGGGGACTTGAGCACGTCCCTCTGTAATGCTGATGGTGACCCGCGACATTTAGGATAAAATTCGAATTCACTGCCTTGATCAAAAGTCCCCAGGAACTTGAATTCTGCCCTTTTCTGGTTCTCACCTCAGGTCGACCTCTCCTTGACAGGTTTACTGCCCCCTTTGCTGGGTGACTCAGTCCCTAGGACGAGGACAGCAGTCCTCACCCTGGGGCTAGGCACCTGCCCTCCCTATGCCGAGGGCTTTGGTTATCCCGTGCCTTTGAGCTTCAGTGTACGTGCTGGACTCTGCCTGAGAATCTTCTCTGACCGCCCTGGTTCACTTCATTTCACTAATAAAAATCTAGAGTTATTTTGCTTACATTTGTTCACTTGGTTATTATGTATCGTTTCTTTTTTTAGTATTTATTTATTTTTTTTAGTTGTAGTTGGACATAATACCTTTATTTTATTTATTTATTTTTATGTGGTGCTGAAGATCGAACCCAGGGCCTCACCCGTGCTAGGCAAGCGCTCTACTGCTGAGCCACAACCCCAGCCCATTGTGAATCTTTTCAATTAGAAAACTAAGCATCGAAGGGCAGAGGTAGACCTGGTATGTTTCAAGTATGTCCCTAGAACCTATCAAATCCCCACTTCAGCCAAGTGCTCTATCAATATCAGTTAAAGGAATGGCTGAATAGTGTATCTCACTGCCTGGAGGTGCGGCTACCTAACATTTTAGTTTTAAAACAGCTTTGTGTTTGTGTTTTTGAGTAGAAACAAAACCAAATTGTACTTGTCCTTCATGGTTAGTTAACAGCTTATTAGATAAAACTTCATTTCCTTAAACTTCCTTTTTTATAATCTAATAAATAAAGAAATGTCAGAATAATGGGAAGAGAATCCTCATGAATGGGGCTGATTTTGAGCACCTCCCTCCTAGCCCCAAGCAGTTACATTTGCAGTGCTGATTTTCCATGTTCCTGGGGCTCAGTCTGGAAAGACAAATGGAAGACTCACAGGGTCCTCTGTCCCCCAAAGCTCCCTTTTCCTCATGTCCCCTCTATTCCCTGAGTCTGCTGGGGTCTCACACCATCTCTCCCATAGAACCTCCGCTGGGCCACTTTCTGGGGCAGGGAAAGTGGCCTCCACCTCACTTGAGAACTAACCGAGCCCCTTCCCGTGGGCACCCATGCCCTTGTTCTCTGCAGCTGACCTCACATGGGAGGAATCTGCCGCTCCCCAGCTCAGGACAGTCAGTGACAGCGCGGCAGACCTTGCTCAAAGAAGTCACACCAGTCTTATGAGTTTCCAGAGGCTCGGTATCTTCCAGATCTGCCTCCCTCCCTCTGATTCACAGCATAATAAGAGCTTTGAGAAGATAGTGTGCGTGCGCCTTTGACCACTGGGCTAGCTGGATGTGGGAAGTAGGGCAGGGGATGGAGCTGAAGGAAGGGGAGTGTTGGGGAGGGCGCGAGACAGCCTGGGATGGGGGGCCAGAGAAGCCCCAGTCTAGGACTCAGAGGCCCCATAGGCTGCCCTTGGGTTGCCCCATTTAGGAGTGGGGATGTATGGATACGGGGCAGGTCTCCTCAGTGCCTGTGTGAATGACCTCATAGGCCTCATGATGAGTCCGGGTAACTGTCCAGCCCCCGCCCGGGGTAATGAGGGTGAGCTCATACTCCAAACACACGGGGAGGCCTTGACCCAGCTCTGCCCCAGCCCAAGTAGGTCATGGCTCTTTCTCTCCCAGAGGCAGAAACTGGCTGCTTTCTCTCTGCCCTGAGTGGGGAAACCGATGTGAACTGTGAGTTAACTTTTGGGTGAAGAAGAGATTGGTGAGAGCAAGCCGCGGCCCTGTTGGGAGAGATGTTGGGGCTAGCTCTCAGCACGTACGGGGTGGTGATAAATGGCCCTGGGAAGGGAACCGGGGCAGGAGATCTCATGTTCTCATCTTGGGTAGCCACACTGGTCTGTTTCCCTGTGTGGCGATGCCCCCGACTCTGAGGTCACTTAACCTTCCCTCCCTCCCCGGGCTTCCTCCTGTCCGGGACACTGTCTCCCGCCTCCTCCGTCCCCTCCAGCTTGCCCTCTGTCTTCCCACAAGGCTCAGACGCTGCTTTCCTGCCTCTGCTGCCTCCTGAGCCTGACCTTGGCTCTTTACTGTTCTTTGGGCTCATTTGCTGCCCAGGAGAGAATAAGCAAGGGGGAGGGATGGGACCAGGAATCTGTCCAGAGAGAGAATGCTCTCTGAGCTTCTGGGCGGACCTGTCCAGACCCACCTGCTGCTTCTCGTCCCTCTTCCTCTGACCGCCCCGCCTTGGCCTGTTGAATTGTGGTTCTCACTTTCCATCTCCACTGGCCCTTTCTCTTGGGCCCAGCAGCTGTGGAAGGACAGTTAAAGTTTTGCCCTTGATGGCAGCAAGAGGACCAAAGACAGGCATAGCTCTTTGTGGGGGAGAAAAGGGCCTTCTCAGTAGGCTGTCCTCCAGGTGAAAGGAGTGTCCTCCCCCTTGATCACATTGTTGGAGAAACCCCATTGTTTGTGGCTGATTTTCTGTAAAACAGAACGGCTGAGATGGAAGAGGTGGAAGAGAATACACGGGAACTGCCCCACACTGCTGTGGGTATGGGAGCTCCTTCATCTCCCTCTCTGATTATTGTTCATGATGATTGATGTCTGGGGATGCAGTGCCGTGGTGGTGTGCTTGCCCAGCAAGGACGAAACACATAAATAAAACAATGGAAAATGGTTTTAATTCAAAATAGATAAATGCATAACAACAGAAAGCAGGTTGACGGTTACCAGAACCAGGGAGGGTAAAAGGGACAGTCACTGCATCATGAGAGTACTGTGCAGGTCGAGTTGGTGATTGTACAAGATGCGAATGTACTAGACACCACTGAGTCATTCACTTTAAAATGGTTAATTTTACGGTAAGTGGATTTTGCCTCCATTTTTAAAAAGATGGCATGCTTGTCTAAAAACTAACCCCAAGATGAAGCTGTGGACATGGCTGACGT